TGGTACATGCAAAACGCTTGGAGCCACACCTAGCAAATGGCAAGCACCACCATAACAAGCCTCAGGTGTTATTACTTATAACAGAGTGCAATACACAATATGCCAGTGAATCTGCGAGGCACGAATGTAGGGATCAGCTCCATTGCAAACTGAAGAGAAAGATGATAGATAAACCACGGGTTGCTAAGCTAAGCCCATGGGTGACACGCGCCAGATGGAAATTTGTGGTCGACCAGGGTGGCACGTCCACCCTCTAGCTCATGTTTCACCACAGCTTGTGTGGCGAAAGTCAAAACAAATGACAGAAACCCCTCTTGTGGTCCCTCCCCGCGCCCCCCCCCCGTGCCTGAGAACCACCAGTTTATGTTTGTGTCACTGGGGACTCTCTGGGTTGCAAGTGGCAGGAAACCTGATGTACCAGAATCCCAAAGAACAACACCAAAAACGACTCCGTTTTACAAAACTGACCATCTGAAGGACGGTGCAAACTTAAGTGAAAGTCGGCTTGGGACCAGAGCCATGTGAGGTCCCCAGGGCTCAGTTTCTCTCTCTCTGTCTCCTGGTCCACCTCTCTGTGCTATTTCCTTTCATTCTACCTTATCTGTCCCTGGCAGCAAGATGGCTGCAGTAGTCTGAGCTCCCCCCCAAGCCCCCCCCCCACCACCCCATCTCCTAGGATCAAGTCCAGGAAGGAAAGAATATGCGACTTCAGTCTTGCCAAAAGTCTCCTTGCCCCCCATCGGCTCTGACCAGGTCCCAGGACCATCCCTGAACCAGCCCAGCTTCCGAGTGGAGGAGGTGCTTTGACGGCATTGGCTGGAGTACCACACCGAGGGCGGATGGATGATCGACACCACCTGAGCCACTGAGCTCAGACTCGGGGCGAGGATGCTTCCCCAAGGGGGCTCAGAGTCCATTTCACTAGTTGTGCATCCTGCTGCTCCACTTTCTCCTCTGTTCTGCTCACAGGCTCTCTTCCAAAACCTGCTGTTTCATCTCAGGAGCAGGACAAAGCAGATGCGGAATCAGAAGGACTTGTTCCGTGTGTGGGGGTGGAGGTGGGGCACAAGGAGAGAGCACGGTTTCAGCAGATGCTGTGGTGACGTCCAGCCTGGCAGACCGACCATGGTGTCTGGAGGTGGGGGCAACGAGGAGACAGATCAGCAGCCGCTACTCAGCCATTCACATGAGCATTATGGATGTCATGGCAGGTATGTGGAACACGGTAAAAGAAAATCCAGAAGAAGGAAGGATTTCTGTGATGCAGAGAGGAAGCACCCCAGGACAGAGAAGGGGCAGTTGATACCATGACGACTTCCACGGCATGCCAACCTCAGCGGGCATCGCCTCTTGCTCACAATGCACTTGGACTCGAAAGTTGCCCACACTCACATGATATGTCCCCACGGCCTGAGTGCGGGAGGACAGGAGTTACAGGGAGGGTCAGTAGCTTTAGGAGCTTTTATTTCTTTTGGAAACTTCCTTAGGAATGTCTAGTTTCCCTTCACAACTTCTATTTTTGCAGAAATTGAGCAGGGTTTTCAAAAGTCTTCGCCAGGACTTCTGGTTTCCGCGCCCACATGTAAAGACTTGGCAGTCGTTACTCTCATCCTTACAACCGGAGAAAGATGGACACACTGAAAATCAATGACTTTTCTAGAATCCATCGGAGAGCTGAGGTCAAAGGGCAAACTGCCACCCCCAAATCTGGATAGACAGGTGAATCCAGAAAGTGACAGCAGAGATCTTCCTACCTGGAGCAGAAACCACTGGAGCTATAAATTGGTAGAAACAGTTAAATGGCAAATTTTATCTATTTCTGGAGGCTGAATATGGACTATTGTGAGAACGAGAAACTCCTGGGGGCCACAGTCTTAGGGGGGCACCCACACTATCATGCATGTGACTTCCAGGAAACCTTGGCACTCCAGCAGAGGAGGGAAAGAGCAACCATTGTGAACCAGGCCCAGAGGGGTGCTCCCCAGGGGCCAAGACTCACCAGGGCTCGTCCCACCCTGGGGGAGGACATTTCTCCCACCTGAGGCCCCTCTGGCTGTCTCATCCAAGGGGAGGAAAAAGAAAAGGCTAAGAAACACTTGCGAAGGTCCCAGCCCAGGGACACCGGCACTGAAAGTCTGAGAGGCACTAATGAGACGGCAGAGCACGCCCCTTCCTGCTCTCGCCCAGCACACCCACGGCTCCGGGCGGTCAGAGCGGACCACAGCTGGGACAGCCGCGGCATGCCAAACTCCGTCCAAGGAAGAGTCCTCAGAGAAGCCCCAAGACAACAGGGAGACGACAACGAGGACACTCGAGGAATCGGAAGCCTGGGCACCTGCAGCTTCAGCAAACATTCTACAGAATCCAACTTCTAGCCACAGTAACAGGAAATCTCACACTAGAAGCCTGTTCACCTCAGTTCCTATGGTCCCATACATTGTCTGGCTTTCAACAACAAAAATTATAACGCGTGTTAAATGGCAAGGAAAAAACGTATCTGAATAGACAAGGCAAACATGGAACCAGCCTCGGGTGTGACACAGGTGCTGGAATGATCAGACAGGGAATTTAGCAGAACTGTGATTAATATGCTAACGGCTCTAACGGAAAAGGTAGAAAACATGCTAGAGCAGATGGGTAACGTCAGCAGAGAGATGGAACTCTAAAAAGGAATCAAAAGGAAATGCTGGACGTTTAAAAAAATCCAAAACGTGGTGACGGAAACGAAGAACGCCTTTGATGGGCACACCAGCCGACTGGACACGGCCCCAAAAGACCCAGGGAGCTTGAGGAGAGGTCAGCTTGGCATACTGAAATGCAAACACATCATCAGTCAGTCAAGGACCTGTAAGCTTCACCCAGCTCTGTCTCTGAAGTGTTGCCATCAGTCACACAGACGATTAGGCCCCCTGACAAGGGAGCACTTCTGTGGGCCATGGTATTGCAGAAGCTGAGGTCACTGCTTCAGCTGCGCTCAGCAGCCCACCAGCATGCACGCACCCTCTCAGCCGCACGGTTCTGGGCGGTCAGTGCCCCCGGCGCTTCTGAGTGGTCTGTGCTTAATTAGGAACAGAGGGCTCGACAGCTTTTAGGGGAGGGGACCAGCAGCAGGGCCTGTTGCACGGACAGATTCCAGCTGAGAAGTGGCAGGCGGGTGTGAGGCAGGGCCTGCACCCTGAAGAACTGAGAGAGGAGCTGACTGTCAAGGCAGGGACCACAGACACCCAACCAGGTACAGGGTGAGGGCATAACCTCAGAAAAAGGGTGAATGCAAGTGATCAGTGATGGGGCACTAAGACTGGGTCAGTCAAGCAACAGAGGTGATTTCCAGCTGCGTCCCTTCCACGGTCACATGCTGGAGCATCTCAGAAGCCACGTTCCTGCCTGACTCAGGCCTTGCCAGAGCCCGACAGTCAGGGTGGAGCTGAGTCTGCAGAAGGGCCCCAGAGCTCCTGACAATGGAGGAAGGATTCGGAACCCACCTGCTCATGGCCGCCCATGGCCGGGCTCCAGGCCTGACTCCCATCCTGCCCCGGGACTTACTGACTTGCCAAGCTTTTCCCAAACAACGGACATAACAGAACGTCCACTTCTGATTTTCCTGGGCTTTTCCTACCCTGTCATACTTCCCCCAGCCATCTCCCCCCATAGGTGCCTGGGACAGTCACTCTTATGTGATATCTGGGCTAGGCTGTGGTGCCCAGTTGTTTGGTCACACAGTAGTCTAGATGTTGCTGAGAAGACATTTGTTAGACGTGATTAATATTCACAATCAGTGGATTTTGAGTAAAGGAGATTACCCTCCATCATGTGGGTGGGCATCATCTAATCAGATGAAGACCTTAAGAGCAAAGATTGAGGTTTGCAGAAGAAGCAGCAGTTCTGCCCCAAGGCTGCAGCCGAAAAACCCTGCCAAGTATCCCACCGCCCACCTGCCCTACAGATTCCAGACTGGCCCCAAAACTGCCAGTTCCTTAAACTCTCCCTCCCTCCCTCTCTCTCTCTCTGGGATTAGATATAGATTATATAGATATACATACAATCTTATGGGTTCTGTTAACATATATAGGTATATATATCATATATATATCTCTTCTTGGTTCTGTTTCTCTGGAGAACTCTGATAAAGTGCCTCTACAAATTTGTTGACAGGAAAGGGTTAATCCTTTTGCAATAAATGAAAACCCACCATTTTAACCAAAAGGGAATCTTTTCAGTGAAAACAATCATTCTATCCATTTATCTGACAGCAGTATTAACAAAAAAGTACAGAGGTCATTCAATTTTGCTCCTTTTCATTAATTCTCAGCTCCACAGAGTTGCAACAGGATGTTGCCTTCTGGCATATTGACATTAAAACTAACGCCTATTTTTAAAAAGGTCATTATAACCCCAGCCAACCATTAGCATCTGAGGGCTCTGAAACAGCTTGTAGAGGTGCCTATGGAAACCATCAATTGCCCGTGAAAACCAGTAAACCAGGACCAATGGGAAACCACAATCACACATGCTCACCAGCTTGCGGGGCCAAACTGATGGAGCTGAAACTTCATTTCTGCCTCTGCTTTTTGTTTTGTTTTGGTTTTTGGAAAATAAAGGAAAACACAGGGTGCTACCATCTGAGAGTGTCAGGAACACGCTCGCAAATAAGTGTCTTCACCCTCACAGTCCTCTCCTGAAGGGCTGGCGGAAGCCTTGTCCCCGGGCCACCGCACTCCCACATGTCAGACTCCACAGTAACCCAAGTCGCTGGGGAGGGCCTTCAGGCACAGCAGGAGGCAGCATTTTATCTTCTTTGTAACAGTTTCCTTGACTGGAAAATGAGAGTGGGTGGTTGTTTTAAACTCAACTGCCATGCTCACATAGGAAGTTCCCCAAAGTGTGGCCCCTACGCACCAGATACCAGACCCCACACTGAAGGCAAACCACACAAGCCACACAGCAACAATAGAGCCTGAGTGTCTGAAACAAATTTCTAACAATACATCTTTTTACCAGATAGACTCATACTTTATTTTGACAAATTTAAGATAGAAAAATATCATAAAGTGAATATAGCAGCTGCTCTTTTGGTAACACGGTTGGATCGTGCAGTGTGGCTGGAAGGGTGAGCTCACCAGGATGGTCTCACTCTGTTTCGGCTTCAGTGAAGGCCGAATTCTATTTCAGCCATCGCGTTTGCTTGAAAGCATACCAGACACAGTAAAACTGGTTTTTAAAAAGGCTATGGCATTCAGTAATAAATATTATAAAGCAGTGAGCCAAAACAACCTTTAAAATATTTTTATAATTACTAAAAGCCAACTTTAAACTTCATGATTAAAGCTAAGAACTCATATTTTCAAAGTAGCTTTAACATTTTCTACCAATATAAAATAGAATAATAAAGCACTTATTTAAAAAAGGAAACAAGTGAAGAAAAATTAGTAAACACGGTATTTCAGCTGACTATGAACAGTGAACATCAATTCAGTGTATTTATATACATCATTTCAATAATATACTCTTTGCCCAGCTGGCCATAAAAACTGTGGTTCCATCACCAGAAACGTGCCCCTGTGTGATCTTTGAGCTGACCTGGTGCTACCCTCATCTCTAGACTCCATCTTCAGAGCGGGTGGTGAGCGACTGGGTACACGCAGACACTTGGTTATGGTTATCACCATGAAAAGCTAACATGCCCAGAGTCTGCCTGGCTTGTCAAGCAGCTTCACAACCTCCTGCCTCGGCGATGCCTCGGGCAACCTCACGCTAAATAATTCACACAGGTGCTCTGCCGTGGATATCAGTCCGTTTCAGCTCTTTCCCTTGCTTCCCTTCCCCACTCCTCAAAGAATGAAATTGGGCAGCCCTCATTAAAATAAGTTATCTCTCACTTATAAAATAAGCATATGTACATATATACAAACACGCATTTCCTTTTCAAGGGCTGGGAAGCTCCTCATTTTCTATCAAATAATCCTTCTTCGTGTACTTGGTGCCCCGAACTAACCTCCACACTTGAAGGTAAGCATCCTTTAACGACCTCTTGCTCGCTTCAGGGCTGCCTGACACCTGCGCGCTCCGAGCCCCCAGCCGGGCTCCCCCGGGGCTGCCCCTGGCCTCTTGCCCACTCTGCCGAGCCGGGCCACCTGCTGCCTCCCCACCTGCTGACCCGATCTCTCCACCCTCCGCGGGCAGCTCCTCCAGGAAGAACGGCAGCTGGCCTCCGCTCGGCGGCGCCTCGTCGCCCCCGGGCTGCGCCCCCAAGTCCTCGTAGTGGCTTCGCTTTCTGGTCTCCAGGAATTTGGCCACACAGTAAATGATGGAGCCCAGGGTGTTGACCACGACGCCGGCAATGAAGAGAGAGGTGGGCTCCACGTCGCTGAAGGCCACCATGCCCACCGTGATGGTGGCGATGCTCTTCACCACGCCCACGAAGCTGGTGGTCACCGCCGAGTTGATGTAGGTGCAGTGCAGCGTGGTGAAGTTCATGGCGCAGCCGATCAGGATGCAGGCCACGAAGATGCAGACCATGGCTGGGTCCCTCCAGCCGGGGAAGGCCCAGGCGTAGATGGAGTCGGTGCTGGCGAAGGAGCAGACGACAAGCAGCGGGCTGGCGGAGACGGCGACGGCGTACTGCGCGGTGAGCGGCCCGTGCTCCGTGTCGGCGCTCGCCTTCTGGATGAGCACCAGGTAGGCGGCGTGCACCAGCACGGCCAGCACGCCCGTTACGTACCCCACGGGGTCGCCGGTCAGGTCGCCGGCTCCTGGGGCGCCCGCGACGGCCGAGCCGGGGCAGGAAGGAAAAAGAGAAGGCAGAAGGCGTCGGGTTGGAAAGGAGCGGACTTCGCGCCCCACCTCTGCGCACCGGTACAAAGCCGGGGAGCCGCGCTCGGTCGATACCCGGCTCCAGGCAGCAGGAGCGGCGCCTTCCCTGCGTACCCCCCGCCCCTGTCCACGACAGGGCCCCGGGGGGCGCAGTGCCCTCGGGGTGGACGCTGTGGCTTCCCAGGCTGGCCCTGAGGTCACCAGGCGCGTGTTGTCCCTGCCTCCCCGGGGTCGCCAGGAGGGAGAGGGACCCGCAGCTCCTGAATCCTACCCGGGCGGGCGCGCGGGGCAAGAGCCCGTGAGGGTCTCCCGCTCCCTGGCTCCCGCGCGCTCCCGCCTCTGAGCCCGCCCCGGCCCGAGACCCCGACCCAGCCCCGGCGGCCCCTGCGCGGCGCCCCTAGTCCCCCCGCTGCAGCCCGCGTGACCCGGCGAGGCGCCGGCCCCTCCTTCCGGCTCGGTCTGGGCTCATGCGCCCCCCACCCCCGCTCCCAGAGGAAGGAAGGGGTGAGGGGAAGACGGGTTGGGGGACGGGAAGGGCGATACGCGGTGGGGGAGGGCGGGGGTCGGCCCAGTGGGGGCTCGGAAGGAGGGGCCGGAGCGCTGGGGAGGCTCCGCCGGGTCTGGAGTCCCGTTTGCGAGCCAGCGACCGCGTTCAAGCTCCCCGCCTATCTGCCTCAGTGTCCCCATCTGGAAGTGAGCGCATGCACCGAGCGATGCCCGCGGCCGCCGGCCGGTGGGCGGGGTGGGCGCGGGTCCCCTCACCTGCCAGCGCGGCGCCGCAGGTGGTGATGAGCACGGCGGCCAGCACCCCAGGCGAGGGCGCGCCGTTCTTGAGCACCAGGACGCCAATGAGCATGGTGACCAGGGGCAGGCAGCGCTTGAAGACCACGTACATGGGCAGGCTGAGGCCGCGCAGGGACCAGAGCGTGAGGCTGGACTGCAGCGTGGACAGCACGGCGATCCCCGCGAAGGAGCGCGCCAGGCTCAGGCCGAAGGGGGGCACGGCGACCAGCCCGAGGCGCCGCAGCAGCTCGAGGCTCAGCGCCGCCGTGGAGCTGGTCAGGCACTGCACCAGGGTCAGGAAGGAGAACTGGTAGCGGCTGATGAGGAACTTGAGCAGGATGTTGAGGGAGCCCGAGAAGACCCCGTGCGCGATGGCCACCGAGATGCCCAGCACGCGGCCCCGGCACAGCTGCCGCATCGCGCCGCCGGGCCTGCGGACGAGCGCGGGGAGGAGCGGGAGGAGCGGGCACAGAGCGGGGACGGAGCGGGAGGAGCGCGGCCGCGGCGGGTGTCGCCCAGCCGCGCGCAGGGCAGGGGGCGCCGGTCGGCCGCGGGGGCAGCTCCCGCCGGCGTCCTCTCTGCGCGCGGCTCCGCGTCCGACTGCCCCGCAGCTCGGGAGGCAGTGGCGGGGGCGGGGGCCTCCGAAAAGTGGCGGGGGTGGGGGGCTGGTCCGAGAGGAGTGGCGGGAGTCCCGGCGGCGGCGGCTTTAAGTAGGTGACGAGCTGCGCCGGGTGCGCCCCGCGGTCCCCGTCACCGAGGACGCTGGCTCCGCGGCTGGCAGCTCGGAGCGGGCCGGCCCGGCCCCCGGCCCCGCGCCCCCCGGCGGGTCTGGGGCGCCGCCCTGTCCTCGCGCCGGGCCGGCTGCCCCGCTCGCCCCTTCTTCCCGGCCCCGAGCCGGGGACGCGGGCTGGGTACCCCGCGCTCAGCCGAGGCGGGTTTTAGGAACGACAGCGCTCCGGGTCGAGCACCGGCTCTGAGCCCGAGTGACAGCGCCCCAGCCGCCCGCCCCCGAGCTCAGCGGCTCTTCCACCCACGGTCCCTCCCGGCGCGGCCGCGGGACCTGCTCGGTGGGAAGGGAAGGGAAAACGTCGGTGCCAGGGGCTGCGGGGCTCCCTGAAGCTCGCGCGCCAGCGCCCCCACATCGAAGGGACCCGCGGCCCCAGGTCCCCGTGTGGGCCTGCTTTGGGGCGCGAAGGCTGCCCCTTCTCGTCCCGGCCACGCGCTCCGCGTCCGCGCTTCCTCTAAGGAGGCGCCGGGATTGCCCTCGCGGCTCTGGGGGACCTTCCGGGGGCGCCGAGGGCTCCGCGGGCTGCGGAGCCGGGGGTGGGGGCGGGGCGCACGGTCCACGTGAGGCGAAGGTGTGAAAGAAGCGGAAGAAACCGAGCCTGTGGAGCGAGTCCCCTCTCCCGGTTCCGGGGGCGCGGGGGCTCAGGGCGCGGGGGCGCGGCGGGCCGGGGGGGGAGGGGTGGGGTGGCGGCGGGGAGGGAGGATGGTCAGGAGGAGGGAGGAGGGGGACGCGGGCGCGGCGCGGGGCGGGCCGCAGCCCTCCCTGGATCCGGGGAGCAGGCGCCCCGCGGGGCCGCCGGGCCGCTCTGGGGGCAGGACGATCCCCGCCTCCCGGCTCCCCCGCCCGCACGTCTGCGCCCCGCGGGACTCGGGAGCGTTTGCTTCCCATTTGGCTAAGAGAAAAAGGAAATTCCTATTTTCTGCAGGCGCAAGACCTCCGCGACCCTTCCTGAGCGTCGCTCCCTGCAGGGGGCCGCGGGGCCGCGAGGGGCCCGCTCAGCCGAGGTCGCCGCAGGGTCCGACGCGCTTCAGCGTTCGCGCCGCTTGAGCAGGACGGACTCGGCCCGGATTTGGGGGCGAGGAAGAGCTGGAAGCCGCTGGCTCCCGCTCCCGCCCTCACCTCTCCTGCCCACCGACCCCCACCGGCCCCCAGCCCCAACCTTTAAACGCTGCCCCGCACGCACGCTCCGTTTCCCGAGCGGCTCTGGTTCTCCTCCCCACGCGCACCTCCGTGCGGCACCGCCAGCCCCGACGCTGAAGCCGCGATCCGGGCCGCGGGAGGCCGAGCAGCTCGCACCGGGGGCTGCGGCGTCGTGCGCGCTCGGCTCCTCCACCGGGCCTCGTGGGGCCGCCGCCCTGCCCTCACGGGTGGACACCCGAGAACTCGTTCCCGAATGGCCCACGGTGCCAACTTTCCAGGAACAACACTGGAAAGCTTTATGCTGAGTCCTGTGCTCCGGCTCCCTGGGGAACGCTCCGTTTTTGTTGCTAAAATCTCTGGTTATGCACTATTGGCTATTTCAGGGACTGTGTTTTTCAAGTGTCATGCTCTTTCTTTAGGAAATAATGAGGTCTGAAGCACAGTTCAAACGATGTGTGTGTGTGTTATAAGCGTCTGTTCACAGTATACTCAGATAAAAAACTTTGAAATTTAACTTTCCAAAGACATCAGCAAGTGACAGATTTCTGCTTCTGGGGACCATTCCAGTGGAAGGACGCTTGCTTTAAGCCGTCTTACCCGAACATCAGAAAGAAGAGTCTGCACAGACCTACCTAGGGAATGATTCGTTTCTGCCAGCAATTATAACTGCTTCGTTTGCGATACTAACGTCAAGTAAAGGATTTGGGGCTGATTCAGTTTCCCCCTTCTCATTTAGGCAACAATATTTAACTAAATATTTGAAACCTACATTGACATAAAACCATACATTTTCTCCACTTTATTGCATATAATTCTTTTCCATTAGGTATTTCACTAAAAAAAAAAATTTAATGCCATCTCCCGCACCAGTTACTAGATAAGCTCCTATGGAAAAGCGGGAGAAATAGGAATACTGTGATTAGCAAGGTTAATTGAGCAAGAATGTAGATCTGAAGGTCAGAAGGCCATGTGACCTACGAGTATCAAGAGTCTAGACTCAATTTCCATTATTTTTGGAGTTGATAAATGTTGATGGCATTAAATAAAAGCTTTAGTTAATTCATTCAAGAAACATACAGAGCAAGTATTTTGTGCCAGGCCGTCTGGGAGCCACAGAGGAGTCAAAGATGAGCATCCTCTGAGCCCTCAGGGATTCGCAGGTGGAGCCGAGGCAGCACACTGTCATTCCTGCAACAGCGGGGTCTAGTGGCAGAAACAGGAGGGCAATAAAAGCTGGAGGGGATATCGGAGAGGCTTCCTGGAGAAGGAAATATGGCCGCCTTCCATGATTTTTAACTGTGACAATAGCACATGCTCATTATAATCTATAAAGGAAAACACACTTTACAAACAGTTTCTGAACGTATTGTCTTCGTGTTCCCCAGTCCACCCCATTGCAGACCTGGGTGCCATTAAGAGTTTGGCGTGAACCTTTCAGTGTTTCTTACATTTATATATACATAATCCCCCCTTTTAAAAAATAATAAAATTAGGATATCCTACACATTTGTCTACCATTTGCTATTCTTAAAAGCCTTTAGTGGTAACCAGCCTCCAAGATAATCCCCAAAGACCTCCCACTTCCAGTATTCACACCCCTGGTTAACCCCTCCCACACTGTACCAGAATTGGTCTGTGTGAGCCATAGAACATGGAGGAAGTGAGGTGAGCCACTCTTGAGATTAGTTTATAAAAGCCGGAGGCTGCCATGGTTAACCTTCTCTTTCTCTTGTCTCACTTGGTCTGGAGGAAGCCAGATGCCACGTTGTAGGGACACACAGCCTCTGGAGGGCCCCACCTGGTGAGCATTGGAGGCCTGTTACCAACCATGTGGGTGACACTGCCCACTCATCCTTCAGCCCCAGTTGAGCTTCAGACGTCCACCAGACCCGGGTGACCGCTTAACCACAATGTCATGAGAACACCTGAGCCAGAACAACTCAGCGAAGCCACTCCTGGATTCCTGATCTATACAGACTGTAAGAATAAATAAACGTTTGTTGTTTTAAGCTGCTAAGTTCTGGGGTGACTTGTTAGACAGAAATAGATAACGAATACACATATTAACAGCAGTGTATTTTTCCACGTGGGACACAGTCCTACCTTACTCTTTTAAGCAGCTGCTCTACAATGTAACCTTTCTTCTGTAGACAGGCAGCCAGGTTTTCCCAAGCAGTGATGTAGTGAAGGTCCTCGGACATCTGCTCTTACCTGGACTCCAGGCAGTTGGGGTTCAGGGTAGGGGACGTGGGCAGGGAATCTTGCTGGTAATTTAAAGTCTTTATTGCAAAATTGCCTTCCAAAAAGGTATATTAGAGTGCTCTTGCTTTAACCAATATTGGAAATTATCAATATTTTAAATGTTTGCTAAACTGATAAGCAAACAAATGGGACGTCATTTTAATCTGCGTTTCTTTGTCATCAATGAGACAAAGTCTGAGCATCTTCAGACACTTGCGTTTGTTCTTCTTGAATCGTCGGTTGGTTTCCTTGTCCACTTTCACGTCTGGCTGTCTTCTTAGTGATTTTTAATAGTCTTCATAAATTATGGATATTAAGCCATTTGTTACATATGTTGCAAACATATCCTTCCAACATGTCTTCCGTCTTCCAGCTTTGCTAATGGTGTGTTCTGTTTTAATTTTTGTATGTTGTCAATCTTTTTCTTTAGTAATTTCATGTGACTTTCAAACGATGGGTGAGAATTTGCCAAGCCGAGAGCAAGGCAATCCAGGCACATGGACTAGCTTGAGCAAAGATGGAAATGACAACCTGCATATTCACACGAGGAGTTTGTGAGCACACTAGTGTTGCTGGAGCAGAAAGTTCGTGATGCTGCCGAGAGAGGCAGGGGACCAGCCCCAAAGGACCTTAGCTGCCTGGTTAGTGAGCCTGAACTTTTTCCTGTAGGCAATCCTAGAAGCAGAGAAAGGTTTTACATAGAAATTGATGTAATCAGATTGTATTTTCGATCAGTCTCCGGCAGCTGTGTTGAGGATGGCAGCTCAGGGCACAGAACTAGAAACAGATGCATCATTTAGGAAGCTGTGTGATCGCCCAGAGAAAAGCTAATGATGGCCTGAACCAGAGCAGTGGTGGTTAGACTGAGGGAAGAGACAGAACTGAGCAGTATTTAGGGGTAAAAGGGCCGGGACTTCGTGGCCTCTGTGATGTGTGAGTGCAGAGGTGGGAACAAGGGGAGGAGCAGGATGCAGGCAGGTCTTCAGCCTGAGCGCCTGGCTGGACAGGATGGGCACAAAGGAGGAGGCGTGTTCAGGGGGAGTTTGGTGAGCGCCGTGAGTCTGGCTGGAAGAAAACACGTGCAAAGGCTGTGGGCGACCCAGGTGGGGAATGCAGGAGAGACAGATTTGGGACTATTCAGTAAATACATGGAAGTAAAAAACATGTAAGTGGGTTATCTCATTCAAGAAGAGGCCTGTTAAGTAAGAAATTACTGAATTTGCTGTGAGAAGAGCCGAATTCGAGCTAAGATACACAGTTAAGTGCGAAAGGCAGAAGGGACAGTTGGTGCTCAGCCTGGACCTCGGAGGGCAATGGGGCTTGGCAGGGTCACTCCAGACCCAGGGTCCGCTGCTTAGCTCTTCAGACTGGGAAACTCAATTTTGTCAGTTCCCTCAGGAATGATCAGGATCAAGTCACCAGAGAGTTCCACATCTTTACTGCTTCTCAGTGGGCCAATTTCTGCTGTTCCCAGGAAAAGGGTGGCCATGTGGTCAGGATCCAGTCGTAGCAGATTTCCAATTCCAGCTCCATACTTCCTGGCTATTAGGACTCCTGGGAGCCTTCGTTTCCTTGTCTGGAAAACTAGGAGGGCTTCCTTGCAGGGACGCTGTAAGATCCAAAGGGTAACACAGAGAAAGCCTCTCACCTCGTGCCCAGGTCACGGAGGATGCTCAGGGCCCTGACCTGCCTGCACTCACTCTTCAGCGCTGTGCCATCACTGCAGGCAGGAGGGGCCTGGGCAGGCAGGCAGGTGGGAACTAAGAGCTCTGCAGCCTGGAGACAAATGTTGGCCTCCCCAACCTGGAGGGACTGACTGGTCAGCCTCTTAAAGCCCAGAGGCTGCCTGGCTGTGAACCACCAAGGACTCAAAACTCTCACACATTCTCGCTCGGGAGAGAAGCCAACTCTGTCCCTTCCAGCTTTCCAACCCTAGTTCCAGGGAGCCCACCGGATAAAGGTTCACCCACAGTCCACACTGGGAGACTCCGAGAACCTAAGTACCATGAAGTTAGTGTTCTAAGCATCACTAACGTCCCCAAAATAGAGGGAGAAAATAAATTGAGAGGCGTTAGTTTTTAAATTGCAAGTATTTGTTTCAAAAGATACATGGCAGATTATTTTACTAAAATCTCTTGCATTCTAAAAGGAAAATAAATAAATAATTTATTTCACAGTAAATATGATCTGGGTTATGTCTCTTGTAAGTTCTGTGATACAGAGAACACCCTGCAGTGGGAGTGGGGCCAGAGGCTCTGGAGGGAAGCAACAAGGACCACTCCAGGACGGCACCCTCGTGCTGGCTCCAGGACGTGCTGGAGCACCTGTTCCTTACAACACCCTCCTGTCAGGCAGTGTCCTCTTTACGGGGCCTCTCAAAAACAATTAGTCCTGACTGGTCTGAGAACCAAAGAGAGACTCATTTCACACACATCGACTGAGGACCTTCGTTGGCCAGCATGGTGCAAGGGCCACGCCTGGGACTAGGACGAGGTCTGGGCCCTGAATCGTGCTCTGACCAGGCCCCCCTTTCCTGCTGCCAGAAGCAACTTCCCAGGCCTCTCAGGCACACATTTTCAGGCCCCACTCCTGGCTCCACTTTCTGTCTCCTTCTGTCCTACCTTTTATGCTGTTTCATTTTTGTATTTTGTAAGCTGTCTTTTAATTTTTTTCTGGAACAAGTAAACCAAGAAATACGTAAATAAGACTACATGTATTTTTTATTTTTCTTCTGATTACTACAAAAAAATATATTTTGTTCTTTAAAAATTCTCAAAAAACTTGTCAAAAATTTAATGACAATTTTTACCATTTATAACACATTTTGTTTTACTAATACGTAAAAATATACACATTATGCAAAGTTGTTTGTTTTACTAATTTTTCCCTCTTAACCTACCTTTTTACAGGTCATCAGCACCTGGAGATTTCTCGAGGAGACTTAGGGAGGTAGCAAGGAGGGTTCGTAGCGTTACTTATCGCTGGTTTCAAGGGCAAGATTGCTTGAAACCTCAGTAGGACCTAAGACTTTTTGCCCAGAGACAAATTTTTTAAAAATTTGATAGTAGGGAAGTAGGAAGTGAGAAATATAGGGTCTCATATGAGTACAATATCTAAAAGGCTTTGAATAAATGTGAAAAACATGTAAGCTCTTAACTCAGAGCATTCCCCGCTCTCAGCGCACGGGCCGTCCTGGAGAGAGCCTCAGTGTGCGTGTCAAGCGCGGAGCGGACGCTCAGCAAACACTGCTGAGTAGGCTGACTCTGCATCAGTGCCGTTACTGAGCTGCAGACACACATGTACATCCGACACAGCGCTGTGTTCACGTACGCACTACACAGGAAAAGCAGCCTCAGTGGGGCTGTCGTACCGTCATAAATGAGCAAGAGATGCAGTTTATTCTGATTTTTCTCAACAGCAATGATTATATTTTACATCAAAAATGACAAATGAAAAATTAAATGTGTCACTATCAATAGAGTCTACGGAGCTCCAGTATTTTAATCCATTTTACAATGCAGAGGTTACATTTTAACAGAAACTACAAGATCTATCATAACATCAAATCCTCCTTGGGGTTTTAAGAGATATGGCTTATGTACTAGGCTTCAACAGTGAGCCAACGTCTCTATCAGCTGCCTCAAAACTGATTCCAGGGTAAATTTTTAAAATGTGAAATCTGAAGAGCATATAAAAGCCTAATGTCTATGTTATCAATAGTTAATTTATGTCCTGTTAAGTGGTACTTCAACCCTGTTCCTTTGTCTCTGACCAGCGTGGGGTACCTCAAGCAGGCATAGCGAGACAAATGGGGTCATAGATTTTTATCGTCTCATCCCAAGCACAGTCAGCCACCTGGAAAACAGAAAGGAATAAGACACATCATCTACAAACATCCAAAATCAGCAGCAAAAGCCTAAGTCATTTATAGAGTGTAGGAGACCATCCACTAGTAAACGTGCCTTTAAATAGGAAGAACACAGGGACACGTTTTTGATAAAAGGTCTGTTTTCCCTTTTTAAGATATACTTCAGGGATTGTTTCCGATGACGGAAGCTGCCGTGAGGACACCCCCAGCCCACCCCCCCCACCCCCAGAGTGACAGGGTCCCTCAGTCCTGCAATCACTGCTGAAAGGCGCTTTCCTGCACTGTGAACAAGGCTCCTCGCTGGGTGCTGTGGGAGGAGAGGAGAGCCAGCACAGCTCTCCCTCCAAGAAGGGCTCGTTCAAGACCCATGTGGGAAGGGCTCCAACAGAGACCGCAGAGGAAGGACCATCGAACCCAGCGGGGGCAGTGTCGGAGACTCCACAGATGCCGTGGGATGCAAGGGCCCTCTTTAGGGCAGACACCGGAGACAAGGACATTCAAGTCTAAAAAGCCCTTTAAAGATGTGAAAGGAGACAGTCCATGGTGTTCAGGAACTGTGTGTTAAAAACTCAGTGGGGGTAGCCACGTCTCAGGGTAGAAGATTCATACACAAAATCAACTGTATTTCTATATAGTAGTAGGAAAAAATTAAAAACATAAAAACATAAAGGTACATTTACAATAGCATCAAATAACAAAATACTTAGTATAAAACTTAACAAAAGACATGCAAAATGTCCACACTAAAAGATAAAAACACTGTCAAGAGAAATTAAAGGCAGCCTAAATAAATGGGGAGGTATACCATGTTCATGGGTTCAATACTGTTAAGAAGTTAATTCTCCCCCCAAATAATTTATAAATAACTCATAATCCCAGCAGGCTTTTTAATAAAAACAGACAAGGTGATTTTTTAAAATTTATGTGGAAATGCAGAGGACCTAGATTAGCCAAAAGAATCTTGACAACAACAAAGTTGTTGTACTTACACTGCCAACTTCAAGACTTACCATAAAACTAGTCACCAAGACAGTGCAGTATTGGCACGAGGCACACAAGGAGATCAAAGGAACAGAACAGAGTCCAGGAACAGACCCCACACTTAGACAAGTGGTTTTCAACAAAGGTACCAAAACAATTCAAAAGGGAAAGGAAAGTCCTTTCAACAAATGGTGCTAGAACTGGACATCTGTATGGAGAAAAAAATGAACCTCGACTCCAGCTTCACACCATAAACAAAAATGTATGTGAGACAAACATATCTAAATATAAAAGCTACAAGAATAAAGCTCCTAGAAGAAAATATAGGAGAATATATTTTCAATCTGAAAGTAAGATTTTTAAATAGGACACAGAAGCAATAACCAGAGAAAGTTGATAACTTAGACTCAATCAAAAATAAAAATTTTACTCATCAAAAGACATTGTTAAGAAAACGAATCAGCAAGCCAGAGTGGGAGAAAATATTCACAAAACATACAGTTGACAAATAACTTGTATCTAGAATATATGAAGAACTACTATAACTCAATCATGAAAAGACAACCCAATTAGAAATGGGCAAAAGTCTTCATCAGACAAAAACAACATACAAATGACCAAGAAGCACATGAAAACGTTCAACATCACGAGGCAGCAGGGAAATCAAACAAAAACCACAATGAGATACCACTACATACTCACAAGAATGGCTAAAATTAAAGGCAGACGATGTCAGATGCTGGCAGGGAGTGCAGCAGCTGTAACTCTTATACGTTGCTGGTACAACCACTTTGGAAAACTGCTGGGCCATTTCTCATAAAGTTAAACATAAACCAATCTGTAGACCCAGTAATTCCACTCCTAGGGGTTTATCCAACAGAAACAAAAACATCTTTATGGAAAATGCATGCAGGAATGTTCACAGCAACTTCATTCACAATAGCACAACATCGGAAACAATTAAAATGTCCCTTGAGAAAATAACAGATAACAAAGTGCAGTAAATTCCTACAACAGAATGCTGCTAAGCAATCCGAGGGTGGGAACACGGAGGCAGAACAGCACAGACGAATCTCACAGCTAACAAGCTGAGCCAGAAACAAGAGCGTACACACCAGGGGTTCCACCACCTAAGTTCTAGAACAGGCACACTACTCTAGGTAACAAAAACGGGGGCAATGTTTTCTTCTGTTTTTTCAGCTGGAGGTGGGGTGGGATAGAGGACGCCAGGAAGGGATAAAAGGGAACTTTGGAGGACGATGCAAACGTTTTGTGTTGTGATGGGAAGTTTGTCAAAAACCTGTAGCTAAGATTTGTACATTTCAACGTATGTAAACAATACCTAAATAGTAAAAATAATAATGACAATAATAATAATTATTGAATGAGGGGTGGGACGCAAGTAGAGGAATAAATTAAACAAGAATGTGGATAATTGCTGAAGCTGGGTAATGGAAGTTCATTATCCTAGTCTGTTTACTTTTTATACATTTGAAATTTTCCACAACTAAAAAAAAGGAAGAAAACAAAAAATGTAGACAGTAACATGAAGGATGAAGTAGCAGGAGAGAGATTCTGGCAAAGGAATCTGCATTCGATTCCCCACCCTTTAGTGGCTGCAAAGGCTGAAGGTTAAACAGAGAACTGGCAGTGGTGGTCCATCTAGCTACTTGGCTGTCGCTAACTGAATACAAGAACCGCTCAGATTAGTCAGAACATATCAACTCCTTACACTCACCAATGCTAGTTCAGTCAGAATCCAAGCTAGAGAGAGCATTAAAGACCTTTTAGTCAAGCTTCTTTATTTCAGCACTAAGAACCAGACTCTTCAAGATGTGCTTGCGACCTCCTTCTCAGCTTTGCCCGGCACAGGTTCACACACTCAGTCCAGGCACCTCGTTGATGCCCCCTGCTCTGTCCTCTTACTGATCCCTGTCCCCAAGTCATCTCTCTTCTCCCTCCCTTCCTCCGCCCCTCGGCCTGGTTCTGCCTGAGAGGGAGCTCTCCAGGAAGAGTTAGTGTAAGCCTCATTTCCTCTGTGAAGTCGCTCACAGCATCCATAATGTTCAGCCCTACTATTCACTGACATGTGTGTCTTCAGCTCTCAGAGGGCATGGACCACGTCTCGCTGTAACAATGACTCAATACACATTAGCTCAAAGAGCGTATTTCACAGATGAAGACTGCAGAGATGAACTTTTTCTCACGTTCACACTACAGTCGCAGAGCTGGAATCAGAGCCTCAATCTGTGGCGGCTGTCCATTGAAAACAGTCCTTCATAAAAGGCAGACTGACACTCTGCCTGATCCTACAGTGTAAGTTTTTATACCCTGGGACACAAAGATCATTGTATCAATTTATCCCTGTCTCATCTATAGATATTTTTTCAAGTGCTGGGCCTTTCTGTATGTTAAGTGTCAACTACTGCGGAGATGAGAATCAGAGAAATAAGACTTAGGCTTGTGATACAAGGTATCCATAAATTATATTTCTGAATCCTGATTCAGCACTCTTCAATCCAGCTTCTTATTTACTCAGAACTTATAATAACTAAAAGATGTCAAGGCCACTGAATCAGCAGATGCTTATAAGTCAATAATTAGATTGATAATATGAGAAAGACCTCAAACTGCAATGAAACAGAATTATGATAGACTGATTCAAATTAATGCAAATAATATTTCTCCATTGACTAATTAATTAAACCCATCAGTGCTACAAGTTTTAAAAAGCTCAGAATAAAAAATAATAAGATAAGAAAAAAAGCACTTCACTAAACTAACCAAGACGCTCCGGCCTCTCCGAGTGGGCCTGTGAGACCCCCTGTAAGGAGATATGGTCCCTGGGGTGGGGCAGCTCTTGTGAAGTACCATCACCCCCCCGGGGCCTCTGGAAGCGCTGGTCCCACTCAGTTCCACGACGAGAGTGAACACAGGGCTCCTTCTTAATGTCCCCTACCATCCATCTGAGGCCAGCCTGGATGACATTACAAAAAAGACTCTGCTGGAAATAAGGGTTAACAAAAAGGCAAAAACATATACAGGTAAAGCGAACAGACATGAAAATGAATAATCTGCTTCACAGGATGAGATCCACTCATTCTCCAGCTTGTCAAACAAAGTGGGGAGTCTTCCCTACCTCCCACCCTGCTTCTTCAAGACGAAAGCCGTCCTTCCCTCCCATCCCCAGGAAGGTGCTTGTGGCCATGAAGACTCCTTCAAGGCCAGCCTCAGGATAGAGAATGAGGAGCCGATAATAGGGCATCTCCCTTCTCATCTACCAAAGATCCTCTTTCTCGGTTCAGTGTCCTAAATGAGGACTCACTTCTTTGCCCGTTACCTTGCCGTCAGGAAAAACCGCAGGACTGCAGTCAGCAAAAAGACTGCTAGACGTTCTTTCGGTGGAATGCGGCACTGTCCCAGGGTCCCAGGGTCCCCTGATTCAATAGGGGTCTATGCCTTTCACTGTCTTTTTGACTGGATTACTTTACAACTCTGAAAGTTATAGAAAACTGATAGTAATCAAATGATTCTCATCCATTAAAGTTGCAAATGAATGTTGTCCTGTGGAGATGCAATTGATGCTGCCCTCTGCCACAAGAGACGGCCCCAGGAATCACATTTATTGCCCAGTGAATATATTCACCTGTTTTACATCTGCTAGTAAATTCATTTCAGCACCCAGTGATTGCCTACACGTCTGTTCATTGGTCCCTTTGAGCTAGCTGTAAAGTCGTCTGTGAGCTACACAAAACCTGTGACACATGTTCATGCTATCTTTGTATGCGTCATTTTGAAAATTACCCTTCCACATGGCCACACAGGGAAAGAGCTGACCTGCTCAACAGGGTAACTATTATTCCCATGGAACATACCAGCCCTTGCTCTCTCATAGGAGACGACACACCAACAGAAAAGCCATTTCATTAAAAGAACAAACATGAAACGGGAGAAGGGGCAGATAATTACACTAGAAAGAAAGGCGACAAATAATTACTAAAATTTG